CTTTTTATGTGTGGGCTGGCTGCTTTGCTGCCAGCAGAATGGCTTGCTCCTGGTTTTTGTCGCCCTAGGGTGTTCAGTCAGTCCCTGTTTAGCTTTTTCCGCCTCTTGTTTGACGGTGGAAAGTTAGAAGCAATGCAGATCCGTGGCTTCACAGAGGAGTTGCCTGCATGTGATTTTACACAAAGAGCTCCAGCTCGCATGGTTTCCCAGCTCCGCTTGGTGCTGGTTTGAAGCACTCTCTCGCCCTATTTGAATAGCTTTCTCGAGTTGTGTTTTTGCCAGCGGCTGCTAGCTCAGAAAGTGAACTTTCAGGTTTGCCTCTAATGTGTTGGCTCCCTCCCAGCGCCTAGCTGGGGATTGTAGAGGTCCCAGCACCTAATGGAGCTGAATTATTCATGTCTGGCACTGTGTGTGCAGCATTCCCAAGTGGAGAGCTGTCTCCTGGTAGGATCTTTGCTCCAGGACTGCTGTTAAAATGCTTTGTTGGCAGGTCTCCAGCCCAACAAGTGAGCACATGCTTTTCATGTTGTGTAGGGATCAATCTCTCAATGGCCGGGGCTGAGGGGAAGGATGAATTGTGGCTGCTTAAATCTGTTTGTGCGATTCCATGAATCACCCGAGTCCTCTAGTTCTCTGCTGGGAGAATGCAGGGCATGCAGCGGGCACCCAACGAGGGCAGCTGGTCAGGATGGGGGAGGACTGCACAAGAGCCGTTTAAAATGGATCAGGCTGTGGTGTCCATCTTCCTCAGTAGGGAGGTGGGGCCTATGGTGATTACAGGCCCAGCATGCACTGCTCTGCTCCAAAATGGGGGCAGCACTGCATGCTGGAACCTGTAGTCTCCACAGGCTGCACCTCCTGTGGGGTAGGGGGGAGCTAGATCCCCCAGCTGCATGTGGGGGAATTGTTCACCTAGTCAGGACGACGTGGGAAGTCCCTTGACGTTTTTTGCGTTGACTTGGCTGCCCTAGTTTTCTCTTCCCTCCCCAGCTGGTGCTAAGCCCTGCCTTTGGTTACAGAAGAGCACCCTGTGTCTGCACCTCTGGGCTTGCCTGGGTGAAGTTGAGGGCATGGTGCATGTATCACTCCTTGCAGCGATACGTTACTTAATGAAGAAGGCATTTTAGTTGGGTGCCCAAATCACTTCCTGTTTCCCACTCACTGCAGCTTACTGGCTCTTGCAGATAAGAGAACAGAAAAATTAAATGTGACCTCTAGGTTTCTGCCCACTGTGGACCTGCTTGACTTCTTGGCACTTTGGGGGCTTCTGGACATTCTGCAGTGTGCACGTGCGCCCATACGCCCCCCTGCTCTTTGCCAAAGCTGTGTTAGCCTGGTTGGGCTGTGAGGCCACATCAGTAAAGTGGTAGCACTGAGTTGAAGAGGGACCAGAGGCACTTAGCCCATGGCAAATGTCTTGTAGGTGTGTTGGGGCCTGGAGGATACAAAATAGGCTGAAAACAGGAGCTTGGAGGTGGTGACTGGGGCTGAGCACCAATGCTGAGGTGGAGTCAGTGGCTTGAGTTTCACCACACCGATGACTCACAGTGAAAGACAATGAGCACAGGAGTGTGTGATGGGATCTGGGATCTTGGGACTCACTCCTCTGAGATGGAAAACGGCCTCTGGGTCGGCGTCCTTTTTCCTGCCATTGCTCTCCAACACCTTGGCTGCTGGCTGGTTGGGAAGACTGCTCTGCATGAGGTCTCTCTAATGACAGCAATGCCCTACTTTCTTTCTTGCCTGGCCCCCTTGCCTGGAATGCACTTGGCATTACAATGCTTTCCCTCCCCTGCCCTGGAGCATTCCTTGCTACAGAGCCCATTCTTGCCTGTCTGGTCTGCGATTATCTCTGACTTCCTTGTCTGTGTTTGCAGGGCCCTGTCTCCTCTGGCTTCTCTTTTCCAGGATGAGCTTGCCCTACTTGTACTCTTGAAACCTGTGTTTGATCCTGTGCCTCTTCTCTCTGGGGACCTGGTGCATCTGCAGGACCTGTTTTCCTTCTAGGGGGCTAGGGCTTTGGTAGTCGCATAGAGATGCTAGGTTTGTTTGCTTGGGCTAGGCCAGAGCCCTACTCTTTAGCTCATGTTTTTAAAAATGGCAGCACATATGAGAGAGTATAGGAAAGAGCAAAGAGGTGAAACCTCCTCCATCTCAGTGCTTTGGTGCAGAGCAAAGCAGAAGCAGGCTACTAGACTATCCAGCACAGTCAGTGTTGGCCCTGTTGTGGTACAGACTCCAGGTTGCTCCTGGTTATGGTGCCTTGCACTCAGGGCAGCGTGTGGCTTTGCTTGATGGGTTTAGCAGTCTTAATGGGCTACACTGGTATGTCAAAAGGAGATGATGGTGGCTACTGTGATCCATTGAATCCAAGTCAGGTGTGGTCCCATGAACTCCTGACTTGGGTTCAGTGGATCACCGTAGCCACCATCATCTCCTTTTGTGCCGTTGATAGAACAACCACAGGGTGTCCTGATGTTGAAGCAAGGTTGGGCCTGGGATGTGTTGCCAGGAATGCCCCAGAACTGGCATTACCTGACAAATCCTTCTTCCCCTTCTGTACGTCGGAGGGAAGAAGGCCTTTGGGCCAAAGCAGAATCAGTTATCTCTGAAATGCCATGAATAGATACTGTGCGCCTTGTCCTCTGGGCTGATCCTGTCCTCAGCAAGGACTTTCAGGATCTAAAAATGCAGACAGTTTTACTCCTTATCCCCCTGTCATCTGGACAAAGAAATTGCTGGAGGCAGGAGGTACAAAGGGAGCTCCTGGGACATGAATGCTCTGCTGGCCAGAAGTTGGGGGTGGGCACCAGAGCTTGGTGGGAAGGTTCTTTGCTGCTTCTGGTTTTGGTGGCACAGGGCTAAGTGAGGAGAATTGATCACTGCATGTCGCTGTCCCTCCCCCCAGGCCAAGCCGTGCAGTGAGCAGGGAGTCTGCGATCTCAGCTGGAGCAGCAAAGCACAAATAGCACTCACTCTCTGGCAGGGGTGGACAGGGAGAACGGCTCCAGAGAGGCAGGTAGACTTGAGCAGCTGGTGGGGAAGAGCTGAGGAGACTGACTGCTGTGCTCTCGCCAAGCTGGGAAGTGGCTTTCCTGTGTTGGGGGAGGCTGGGGCAAGGGAAGAGGGAGGGAGGAACACACATGGCGGCTTTTGAAAGCTGTTAGTGACTCCAGTGCTGCGTGCAGCGTTCTCCTGATTCTGCACTTTCTCTGCCGTTGAAATGAGAGGTCAGTGCTTTTCATTTCCAGCTCGCATGCTAGCCCCTGGCTCCTGGGGTTAAAAATCTCCGTAATGACCTGTCAGAGAGTGGATTATTAGCTGTACAGAGCCAGGGATGCTGTGGGGAGCAGATGGAAAATGATCTGGCTGCTGCAGCCCGTGCAATGAAAGAATCCTTGGCATTTTTACAGTGTTTGTGTCTCTGGAAATGCACCACGAAGCTGCTTTCCAGGCTCCTGCCTGCTGGGGCTTTTTAAAAATGCATTTTTTAATTTAAAAAAGATAAAAGGGTCACCTGTTTGTTTTTTTTGTTTTTATTTTTTTAAGAGTTCCTCATAAATAATAACATGACTCATTGGGCCCTTGTACTCAGAAAGGAGGGGGAGAACAGTGGCACTACAGAGGGGCTGCTTTCAGAGGGCTGGTCGAGGGGAGAGTCTGGGAAGGAAGGGCTGGGTTTTGTGTTGCCGGCTGCCTGGCTGCTGGGAAGAAGCTATTTCATGTGTTAATTATGTCTCGTAAATGTAATCGCCACCAGCTAATTTCAGTTAGTGACTCTGGTGCTTTTTTTTTGTGGCTTACTTCACAATTGTCTCCAGGGAAGTGTCCACTGCAGAATACATCTGAGTGCGTCCCAGATCTGAGCCTGTATTAGGGATTAGGCTGGCGTGGGAGAGGAGGTTAGTGCTGACTGGCGTAGCGTGGGCAGGAGTAGCTTCTGCTTCCTTCATGCAACACCAGAAAGTCCCCTGTGTGGAAACACAGGCCCTCCTGCAGTGTCAGTCCTGGCTGCCTCCACAGCTCTGCTGTGTCCCTCTGGCCCAACTTGCAGTTGCCACCCCCCCTTTTCCCCCGCCACGGCTATTCCAGCCCTGGGCTCCCCCTTGCATAGCTCTGCTCAGTTCTGACCTGCTGGGTTTCAGCCTCTCCTGGTCCTGCACTTGTGTCGCATGTTGTGATTGCTTTTTGAGGAGTCAAGCTCTTCTTGGTGCTCCTACAGTGAGATAACACATCATGTTCCTTCTCTGGTGTGCTCTGAGCTTCAGGGATGGAAAGTCAATGTCTTGCTCTAGGAAATGACTCTAGTCTCCATCCCAGGAGCTTTGTTAGGAGGGATCTAGCCTCCATCCCAGGAGCTGTGTGAGCAGGGAGTGTTCAATAATTCAGAGGGAAATGGCGAGCAGGGAGCGTGTGAGTAATGTCTTGTTGAAGCTGAGAGCTGTGACCTGCCAAGGCCTGTATTGATTGAGGGAGTGATGCCAGATGGTTGCTGCTGTGGCGGTGGCCAGGGTGCTAGGGAATTCTCTGAGGAGCCCTCAGCTGGGACTCTGCGAGGGATGACTGTGATGGGCTGGCTGAGATCAGACAGCCGTGTTTCACTGAGCTAGGTGGCTTTTTCAAGCAAGGCATCTATGGTAGGGGGCAGAGAAGGAAGGTATTTGGGATGGTATCCTGCACAGGCAGTGGGGTACAGCCACACTGGGACCAGCAGGACCCAGCTCCTGCAAATAAGCTTTAGTCTCTGAAGTCTTACTAAGTTAAGCAAGGTAAGCTCATGGGGCTGTGCCCAGAGGCTCTTGAAGTAGCAGTCTGGTGAGCATTGACCTTTGTGTCTGTGGTGTCATGAATGTGCATGCAGCTGAGTAGAGACCTTGGGATCCTAGGGGAGTGCAGGTCCCAAGTGGGGGAGAAGTTGGGCCTGCTTGTTCCAGGACAGGTGCTCAGAAAGATTTCCCTGAGCCCATCCCATGTAACGCCTGTTCTTGTCTCCCTTTCAGCAATGATGCCGTCACCTGGGCAGACCTGGAGCATTGGAGCCCTGAGGACATAGTTGCAGCTGCTGCCTTGGATCCAGAAGGCATTGGGCAGGGAAGAGCCTTGAATCTTGAGGTGGGCTGTTAACTCTAAGATGTCCTTGAGCAGCGGAGCTTCCGGAGGGAAAGGAGTGGATGCGAACCCAGTTGAGACGTACGACAGTGGGGATGAGTGGGACATTGGAGTAGGGAATCTCATCATTGACCTGGACGCTGATTTGGAGAAGGATCAGCAGAAATTGGAGATGTCGGGCTCCAAAGAGGTGGGGCTGCCAGCGCCCAATGCTGTGGCCACATTGCCAGATAACATCAAGTTTGTGACCCCAGTGCCAGGCCCGCAAGCCAAGGAGGGCAAGTCCAAATCCAAGAGGAGTAAGAGTGCCAAGGACAGTGGCAAGCCTGCCCCAGGAACCTCCCTGTTCACTCCCAGTGAGGGAAGCAGTGGCAAGAAGGAGGTTCAGGGACGCTCTGGGGATGGCGCAAACTCTGGTAGCTTGGTGGCTGCCATCACCCCAAAGGGCTCGGAGAAATCGGCCAAGACATCCCGTAGTGTGGCCGGCTCCAAGAAGGAGAAGGAGGGCAGCTCATCTAAGAGCAAGAAGGAAAGAAGTGAGGGGGCAGGGGCTCCGTCGGAGAAGGAGCCTAGCGTGCTTCAGCCTCTCGCTCTGGCTGTGAGGGTGGGACAATATGATGGGGGCCAGGGGGCAGAACCTGCTGCTGCCGAGCAGCTTGGGAGTATAGCTATTGACACAGGAGCAGCACTCAATCCCTTGGGAGTTAAACCAGAGCTGGAGGATGGGGACAGTGAATGCCGGCAGCTGAAAAAGGTCAAATCAGAGAAGGTAAGAGGCTGGTGAGTGGAGAGGGGGGGATATCGCTTTAGGGATCCCACAGCCACTGCAGCCTTGTCATCTTATGCCAGTGGTGCTGTGTTCTGTTCACATGACGCTTTGTGCATGGGGCAGGAGGGTAGGCTGTGGTGGGACTGTGTCTACCTTTTAGGAGCAGGTTGAGGCAGATTTTTCCAGTGCTCCCTTAAAGTCTTTCAGCGAGATCTCTCTGGCTTGCTGATATATGGGAGTCTGGTGTGCTGGAGCAGATGAAACTGGGAGAGCCTGCAATACCCTTTCCTCCTCCCAGGAAACTCCCTGCCATCAAAAGGTGGTGAGTCATGAAATGGTTCCCTGAAGAAAGGGAGGAAGGATGGCTTCGGTCTCTTCAAAATTAGATATAAATTGGGCTGCAGAATGAGGAACAGTCCTGCCGTAGTCTTTAGTGGATGGGCTTTTTCAGATCCCTCATCCACAGCTACTGAGTCATGAAAATTAGAGCAGGGGAAGAATAACTCGTGGCTTCCTTTTTGTCCAGGTTTGCTGCCTGTAGCCAGGCTCCGGTGCATGTTGTGGGGCTCTGGAGACCCCATAGAGGAGAGTTTGTTTTTTTTTAATTTTGTTAGTGAAAAAGGAGTGCATTGCTTTCCTTTCTCCTTTGTGGGCAGGCCTAGAGGTGACCTAGCTCCTTAGTCAGTCACGGGCAACTAATAACATTGGCGTCCTCTGCCTCAGCCCTCTCCTCTCCATTGAACAATGAGGGGTGTTTACCCTACCTGGATTTCTGTTAAAATGGCCAGCAGTAAAAGAGTTTACCCTGTTAATGTTTAAGCTGTGTCTATACTACCAACAGGATGTGTTTAAAAATAATTTGAGCCCATAGATGAATAGAAGTGTTCTTATTCTGTAGATGAGGCTTTCTTGGTGCTGGCAAGGTTTGGGGGTCAGCGCTGGCGTATCTTGCCTGTCTTTGAGCTCGTTCAGGCCCTTCTGGGAGACTCAGTATCGAGTGTTTTCTGAGGGACCAGAAGTTCGAGAACCGTCGTCTGTGCAGTGAAGTGCATTTCCCCACTTGTGAATCCTGTGTGGGGGCGAACTCTGGAGTTATTCCATGGAATGACTGGGACCTGCCTACAGTATGTTCCCTGGAGTTACTCAGAGCAGCTTTAAATACCCCAAGTGCTGAGCTGAGAATGCAAGCTCTGGTTCGTGGCTGGTGCAGATGAAGGGGTGGTTAGACATAAGCAAGAGCCTCACTGCTGGCAGGAAGCCAGCCTCCTTGTGACTTGAGGCACATGCAGTTTGAAGGGGTACAAAGTCCTAGGGGAAGCAGAAGTGGCCTGTGAAAGCCAGTGCAGTACATTGTGGGTCAGAGGAGCCCCATGGACTGCCCTGAAATCTTGGCTTGGTTCTGGAGCTCTTTGGGAGAGGGTAGCTGCCAGTAGGAGCTTGGGTGAGGGTCCTACAGGCTCCCTGCACTGTACCACTGTGGACTACATTTGCTCAGTGCACCAGTGTCTGGGATCCTGTAGAGCTGTTTGGAGGAGATGGCTGCTGCTGAGGCCTGGAGCTGGCTGTGTGGGCTCTGTTGCAGGTGCTTTGCATAAGATCTCTGCTGCTCCCAGATCCCCTGAATGAGGTGTTCAGCCTGGGAGGCAGCTGTGGCCCAGGGTGTTGGAGATAGTGCAGAACCCTGCACGTGTGTCGTCTGTCGTCGTGTCTCTCCTTCCCCCCCCAGCTCCCAGCAGAGTGGGACAGACTGGCTGGTTGAATTGGCTGGGGATGCTCCGCTCCATGCTGGGCTCACACCGTGTGTTTAGCTGATCCCAGCAGCTGCTGTATAAATTGATTTTTCTGTAATTGCATCAGGGGCAGCAGATCTGTTTCACTATGGGAGTGTTAATAAATATGGAATCTATATGGGTGTACTTTGAAGGTTGAGGAGAGATGCAAGGGATGATAGGGCCTTCTCCTCCATCTTCTCTGTGCTGCAGTTTGTACACTGGCTCTGTTCCACTTATGCAGAGGCCCAGATGACAACTACAGCTCCATAGTTGTCTGTGGGGAGTTCAGTGCTGTTCCTCAGTGACTTACCCCAGTGGCAGCTTCTTGGGATGGTGCTGCTGGTGAACTGCTGGGTGGAGGTCTGGGTGCTAAAATTCTGTGACTGCTCCTGCCAATAAAATGCTTCTGTCCTTGGAAGTACTCCATTTGGAAAGCTGGCTGCTGGGAAATGGCTGAGGTTTCTTTAGTGTTCCTGCTCAGTGTGTGACTGTGGATCACTGTGGTAGCAGTCGAATAGCTACTTGTTTGGCTGCTATGCAGAAGCAGCTTGGGATATGAGCTATCTTGTCTAGAGCATTTCCAATGGATTGAGTGATTTTGGCTGGGGAGGGCAGGATGGCTCAACTGACAGCTCCCTGAATGCATAAGGCTGTGCCAAGACTTGGCTGTAGAGACTTGTCTGCAGTAATGATAATGCCCAAATTCTCCACTGTTGCAACTGCCTAGGACAGTGGTGCTCACCCTGTCTGGCTCCACAGGCTGGATGAGTGGTGCAGGGCTGGTCTGTGGGCCGGCTCTAATGTAGGTTTGTTTTCGGGTGCAATCTGGTGTGCTGGCCACACCTTGTATGCTTGGATCTGACTGCACACTGGGCCGGTTGCAAAGTAACCCCGTGTGCTGGCGTGATCTAGTGCAGTGGTTCTCAACCCTTTCTATACTGGGACCCATTTGTAAACATTGATGGACAGTCCTGACCCAGTGCCTCTCACTCCCAACACACTGCCCCCAGGCCCTAGCCCTCAGCATGTGTGAGGGGTGGGGGGGCAAGCAACCCCTTACAGGTTGGAACTGATAGACGGCAAGGGAAAAGTCACGTTTTTCTCCTTTAAAGGAGAATCCATTTTTTAAAGTTTGTTGATCCATTTTTAAAGTCTGTTCCTGACCTTTTCATATATTCTTGCGACCCACTGGTTGAGAAATGCTGATCTAGTGTGCACAGGGTCACATTGTTTGGCCTGCAGGGCTTCCCACAGGGCTGGAAATGTGCAGCAGGGGAGCGGCAATTAACGCTGCCACCATTGCCACTTAAGGTGCCTGGATCTAACCTGCAGGCTGAGCACCACTGGCGTAGCATAACAGTAACACTCTGCATATTTATATACATGTGCTTGCAGTGGTGTGTCAGCTTTTATATCACTGTTGGGTTTGTACCAGCCCTGAACATTTCATAGAAGAAACCAAACAAAGTTCAAGTTGATCTTCTGTGATCAACTTTTATGATTTTCTGTGATGCTGTGGAGCCCCAATGGAGTAGGTCCCATTGTACCAAGGCCCTGTAGTGCTGCGTGAGGGTGCAGTGCATGCCCTTGGAGTGGGAAGGCTGATGATTCAGAAACACTGGGCCAAGTTGCCATGCTGTGTTTTCTCTCGCAGACCTACAGCCTCTGCTGTCCATAGCAGGCATGTTTCTGCCCATGCAATCCTTGCTCTCAGGACTTGGCTCTTTCCTTTAGGAGTTGTGGGGGAATCTCTGCAGGGTAGGCGGAGGGCCAGCACTATGAAGCCATGGAGGTGCTCGCTCGCATGAAAGGCTTTGTGGAACAGTCTGTCTGGTAGAGAAATAATTTCTGAGCAAAGTCTTTATGTGGGAGCCAAGTTTGTCAGTCCTTTTTAGTTACTGATGGAGGGAGGCACATTAGGGGCAAAGGACATTGGGTTTGTTCCTTATCTTCTGCTTTCCTTCGAAAGGGCAAGGGGACCTGAAATATTTCTCAGCATAGTTTTCCTCCATGGTGGTATTTTCAGTTGTGATCCAGCCCTTGATTTTACTTCTTGGGAACAATCCTGGTAAAGAACTGGAAAAGATTATCCCTCCCCTTTGACTGTGGCCTTTCCAGACAGGCTGCAGTAACATAAAGACAAGTGATTTTTGCCTGATATAGCTGTATCGTTGAGGGGTATGTTTCTTTTGCTGATATAGCTTTACCAGGGCAGCTCCTAATGTACAGATGCAGCTTTTCTGAGATAAAAGTGTCTTGAGCTAGTATAGGTTATTCCTCCTCTTGTATGGAAATAAGTTACACTGGTAACTTAGGTTCCTAAGTTATTTAGGTACAACAGACAATTTTACTTCTTCCTCTCTAGCCTGTAGTTCCCCAGAAGTTCTCCCTGACTTAAGGTCACAGCTGGGAAATATCAAATGATTGTTTAGAGTGGGTAAAGCGAGAAGGAGGGTAGAAAACAGTGGCTTGTAATGGGAGGCTCTTGAGAGATTAGTGTGCGCGCAGCAAGGCAAATGGAACCAGTTTTGCCTCTTGAAGCTGAGCGTGTGGATGGACAGATGGTTGGACAGGCTGCTCTTGGCATAACGCAGTTATGAACAGCTCTTGCTGGCTAATGACAGGCACTGTGAGGCAGGATGGCTGTTGTTAGAGGCCTGCGTTTTGTAGAGGTAAAGCAAGACCTGGTGATCCTAGGCTGAGTGAGGGCCTCAAAGGGAGAGCTGAAGGTTGTGGAGGAAGAACATGGGGGAGAGGGCAGGTTCCCAAGGGAGAATGTGCTTGTGAGATGGAAAAGCTGGTGGCTGGATGCTGCTGTTTCCCAGAAGCTGTAAGTGTCTGCAATGAAGACGCTTTTTTCCTAATCTGTGCGTAGAAGTTTCTCTGGAGAGAACTGGTGGGGGAGGTGTTTGCAGTAGGAAAAGGAGTCTGCAAGGGTTGCATCAAAGAGCTGAGAGGATACTTAAAGGGTTCCTACTGCGCAGGTGGGCAAACCCCTCAGAGCCTGGCAGCTTCAGGGAGCTCGCGGCCAGCAGGGACCATTAGATCAGCTGCTCCCACCTTCTGTTTGCTAGCAGGCTCTGTGCTTCACCCAGCTAACCCTGTACTGGGAGCAAAACCTGTCTGGCTAAAGCAGATCTTCCAGAACGGCGTCCAGCCTGGGTTTGAAGATGCTCCGAGGTAAAGAACCCACCCCTTCCCTCCAGAGCATGTTCTTCTGGTTATTCA